CACCTGCTGGCGGCTCACAGCAGGAGCAGCTTGTTCGATGTCGCGCCGTATGTCACATGACCACCAGGGGGCCACGTCAGACTGGAGCAACGCTGGAGTTAAACACGCAAAGGGTCTTTTTGTTGTTGTTGTTGTTGTGTTTAAATCTCTTCCGTTATTTATTTAAGTTAAAGTATGTTATATTTTACTTCTAATTGTACTCCATCATTGAACACTTATTTTGGAGATACTGTTCTATATCTTGTGATTTTTTTTGTCAATGTTTTGTAATTTGCAACTTTTCAATAAAGCTTTGGATTAAATAAAAAAAAAAAGTTTGCAAAGTGTGTTGTGAATATTTATGCCTCTTTTGTTGCTGTAAAAAGTTGATGTCGAACAAATAGAAAATAATAAGAGGCAAACATTTCGTTTTTTGTAAAAAAACAAAAAACAAAAAAACAACCCTTAAAAGAAAGTGTGACATGTATATATCTTTAACCCCTCATGAGGCGTTAAAGATATGTGCATGTCAACCTTTTGCTGGAGACTAATGCCAATTATACTTTGCAAAGTTACTCAGTCAAATTTTAGGTATATGGACTTTGACTTTTTAAATAAATCTAAAATAACACATATTATTTCTTACTAAGCAAAGCTGGATCATTTCTAAATGAGTCATTCAAATTAAAAAAACATTTATGAGAACAAACTGAGTCCCTATCATTAAGTGATTTGATTTCTTACTCTCTCTTTTTAGTTAGTTGGCTCAAATTGATCGGGAGTGAAATGTCCACTTTCTGCAACTCCAACAGCGACGTCTGTTCCAACAGAGCAGCTAGTTATCCTGGATTAACTCAAAATTTACCAATCCAACCTCGCCCTTGTACTAAACAAATCAGTGACTGAGGAGGAGTGATTCAGGCCACCAATGCCCCTTTTCCAAAAGCTCTACTTAGGCCTGCCCAACTTCAATCAGTCAACTTTGTGAGCGTTTCTTTTACTGTTTTAGCCACAGGGTGAGGAAAAAAGGAGTGTTCTTGCAAGAATTACAGGAAAAGGTTACTAAACTAAAAAGTGAGATTCAGTTTTACCATTTACAAACTTAAAACTATGAAAGAGACAAATTACTGCCTGGCTAAAAGTTGCCTTGTCAACAGATACAGTAATCTAACCTGAGCCGTAGATCTCTGCAGCTCATAGTTATGCAGAGCCTCTTTGCCTCTTTCACAAATAATGCTCTCCTTGCCTTGCCTGACTTGTTTTCAAATCTGGAAAGTGATCTAGTTAGTTTTTTTTAAAATCCCTTTGACAAATAAGCTTGACTATGTTTAAAAAACACAAATCCCAGTAAAATACTACTCATTTAAGTTTGCATGCAAAGGCAGTTTTTCTAAACAGTAATTCATGTATTGTTTACATCTCAGTATGATTAATGTAGCATGCTTTATTTTGGGGTAATTGTCCATTAGGCATCTAAAGGCTGTGTAAAATGCTGTAGCACTTCTTTTAAATAGCACAAGACATATGAGCACATTAGCTAGATTTTAACTTCAATTTACTGGCTGACATGATTGCACATTTCACGATTCTCAAATGAAGTCTATACTTGGGCTAAAAAAATAATGTAACATCATATCTTTTGTTACTCTATTGGCGCGTAGGCAAATTCTATTGAATTGGAAATCACACACACTCCACCGGCTGCAGCACGATGGCTGCAAGATGTGATGATGTTGTTACACATGGATAAAATAAAATTCACCATACGAGGTTCTGACAAGTTTCTGTCAGTGTGGGGACCTTTAATCTCATATTTCTATGGACTTGATACATTACCAATGTAGCATGCCTTAATCAATGACGGTATTTGGTAGTATACTGGTGTAGCCGACCCCACGCAATTTAGGCTTGGTTTCAGACTTGATCTGAGTTTAATTTTTTTCTGTACAAGCCTATACTTGTGATTTGACATATATATTTCTATTGTCTTTTCTTTCCTTTCTTGTATAACATTTGTACTTATTTTACTGATCAGGTCCAGGCAGGGTGTGTTGAGGGTGGGGGTTATCTGTTCTGTGATAGAAAAAAAAGAAAAAAGAAACAATGTAACTGTTTTTGTACAGTATTACTCTCAATAAAAACAGGTTAAAAAAATAAGTTTTATTTGCTTTAAATCTCTTAATGGCCTTGACCCCTTGAGCAGATATACATTATATAAGGCTGCAACAGGTCAGGTATATATCTGCAAACTCCCTCAGTAATGAGGTTGAGGTTTCTGTGCAGTATCTTTGCTGTTCTTAGAGCTGCTCTCCTCTGGATCAAGATGTCTGATGTATTTCCAGGGATCTGTTGTCGCCACTCCTTAAGTTTGGGGGCCACTGCCCGAGAGCCCCAATGACTAGAGCCCCTGGTGTCTCTCTCTCTCTATATATATATATATATATATTGACTGATACATTTTTGAGTTGTATTTTTAGATGTAGGGGAGAAAAATACATAGTGTGGATTTGGGATATCCTTCTTAGGTCATTCTTTGATTTTCAGCACAGCGCTTTCTTTGTTTATAACTTCTAGGGAACCAAATCATAACAGCAATTTAAAAAAAACTGTTTTAGCCAAGCTTTCTGCTTCCAGAGACTTCCCCCACCTCCCTGGTTGTTTAAACAATATTTTGCGGCCTTCACTAAGGAAATCTACACATCAGACAAAGTTCAAACAAGAGCAAATGATACAGCACAAGTGAGAATATATGAACCTATTTCTCCAATTGTAAAACATCCCTCATGTAATCCCTCTGGAATGCTCCTTTTATAGACATGAATTGTTGCCATTAACCTGTATAACTGTCAAGTCTTCTTCCAGGTATTTTCTCTTGTTCTTTATTCTCTAAACATGTTGGGGCAATAAATCAAAACATGAAAATATATTTTGTAAAAATAAAATGTCACTAGGCACATTTTAAACATAAATCATCAAACATCACTGGAAAAAATGTCACTTTTGATATATTTAAAGCTTCATAAATGACCTCCTCTTTAATGTCTTCATTGCACAGGCTCCTGTTCTTTTGGTTGATGCCACAAAATTAACCTTCTATACCAAGAAGTTTAAATGGTCATTATGTGTCATGATTCATTATTTACAGAACTTTATAATTTAAGAAATCATTTTCAAGTGAATTTACTTAGAGTACCTATATATTATGTGTTTTGCCTGCAATAAAGAAGCAAATTTCAGTTGAAGGAATGTTCACTTTTAATGGGAGTTCTACCATTTAATACTAAAGAAAAAAAATCCCACTTTCTAAAATCCGTTTCTAAAATCAGATTAGAATCTCACAGATATTTAGCTTGTTCATATTTTCTAATCTGAACAATGCTTTTGTATCATAACAGCATTAGCTAAAGCTACGGGGTATCTGGTTACCATATAACCAGGCTTTCAAAAAATACTGGCCCCTAAAAATGTAAAAAGAGAGAGAAAAAAAAGACAGTAAAACTGAGTAAATATTAAAGGCTATATGAACCTTTTTCTGTTAATAAATAATAGGCTGTGTTAAGGTGAGGAAAGAAATAGTTGCTCAATAAAACCAACAATTACAACCAGACTTATCATTTGAGTATTTTAGCAGATACAGTAAGCATAGCAAAATGTTAGACTGGCAACATTTACTGAGAAAACAAACAAAAAAAGAGTCATAAATAAGACATACAAATGTATATAATCTGTTATGGTAGAAAATCAACATGCTACCTCATGTTGCTATATTAATACCAACAAATTTGCATTTTGGCACATTTGCATATAACATTCTTTTAACAGGAATAACTGCAATTTGAAACGGTGTTCTTCATCTTTGTGGTTTGCATGTTGACATGAGTTAGCATTAGTTGAAAGAACAACAAAAACATTAACGGTCCTTTAAGTCTGATGGGGTAAAAATCTAATTGATTTGATATTTTTGGACAAACCAATACAGTAGCAACGATATTAGATTTCAATATGGGGAAGAAGTTGCCCCTGCGTTTGCTCTTATCTTGTCTCCAGAAACACACCTTCTGATTTTCAAACTTTAATCTCTGTCCACAAGATAAAAAATAAAAGAAAGAAAGAGGATTCTTTATGTATTTTATTTTTAATACATTTGTAGGCGTATACATGTTGACAGGAGTTCCAGATATTACCTGAAAGGCTATTTTGTGATTGTCCACTTTCACCATTGAACACTAGAAATCACAACAAAAGCCATTTGTGTCTTTTGGTTGTATCATACTGTAGCAGAGTACTTACTCTGTAACCATTAAACCTCAAATGAAAACTGAAGAGGTACCTAAAGTACTTCGGAGAAAATTCCAGGATATTTTTCTTATGCCTTTCAATTTAAAAAAATGTGATGTTTTTTCTATTTTTAATACAGAATATTTATAGCAGGGACTATGTATGCTAGTCAACTCAGAGAAAAAAAAAAATCCTCATCCAGAAGATTTACAGTAGTGCAGCCTGAGCCTAAGATCCATCTGCCTCCTCCTGCCCACTGCAGATGCTGACTGCTTTCCCTCATGATAAATAAAACAAAAAACGAACATTTGACCAAATAACTTGTTCTGCCATTGCTGCATGTTGTTTAATATCACACAAGGATCCACCGGAGGAGTTATAGTTAGATTTATTCAACCATGTATGTTTCATGTAAACAGGTGTGCACAAAGGGAAGACCTCATGGTGAAAGGTCTCAACGCTAAACCAAACGTCTACCTGAGATTCAGTTAATATCACCAATTCACGTGGAACTCACAGAACGATGCAGAGAAACAAACCTAGACTATTTCAGTATTCTGTGGTACACGTTGATGCTACAATAAAACATGTTAGACAGCAGTTCTCAGAGACAGTTTTGGTAACTTTACAAGCTACAATGTCGGCCCTATGTTATACAAAAGGTGAGTCATAACATAAGTTTTTATTTACTTTTTTCCTTCTTTCAAATTGTTTTTTTTTTTTTATATAAATCTTTACTAAAACTCCTTTAAAGTCTTTAATATTGCTCTTGCTACATTGAAAACAAAAATAGAAAAGTTACATCTGAACATTGAGCAGTGGGTGTTGTTTTAATAAAGAGTGTCACCCTCTAGTGTCCATGGCTATGTTTCAATAGTCCTTAGCAGTTAAGTGTTTGTGTGTGATTTTCTCTGTAATCATTACATACTCGTCACTTACTGCAGAAGAAGGAACGAAGCAAAAGAACAACACCACAGAGACATTTTGGAGGCCCGTGAGCTGAAAAAGAAACACCTAGGGTTGTGTTGCTGAAGTGCTGGCTATCACTGAATCTTCCCCTCCCTGAGCTCCTTCCTCTTTCACTGCTGTTGCATCCATTTCCGCTGCCTGATCAGCAGCCACAGAAGAGGTGTGCGTGTCAGGGGCTTCGAAGGACTCGCCTCCGAGGTCGCTCAGTTTGATGTAGCCCTTGCTGTTTGAGCGTTCCAGTCGGGGGCAGCTGAAACGCCTCGCTCTGTCACTTTGACGTCCCCCAGACACAGACAGGCTGCAGCGACGGACCAGCCTTGGCTGCTCTGCAAAAGAGTTCAGCGACGTATTTGAGCTTGTTGCCGTGGAAACAGGCTCTGGAGGAAACAGCTGGGTCCAATGTGCATGAGGCTGAGACTGCTGCGCCCCCTGTTGATTACCTGTCTCTATGCTTATGTCCTCCTGACTCTGATGGGGAGGTGGGGTGTTCGTCTCTGCTGATTCCCTTTGCATACCGTCCATCTCCACACAATGGCTGCTGCCGCCATGTCCTTCCTCCCTGATGTTCTGGGCAGCAGCCTCAATAATAACCTCCTTCTCTGAGCGCCCCTCTGCCTCCGGTCTCTCTGACTCCTCTACCTCACAGTTATTTAGTTTGATCACTGGGAGCGTGAAAGCGTTCACAGAGGAGGTGACGATGGAGGTGGTCTCCCACTCCCGAGGCTGTGGGGCCTGCTCGCTACTGCTGCTGTAGTCCTTATAGATGCTGTAGACAGTATCTGTAAAGCTCTGCACATCTCTGGAAAAACTACGTGGCCTGCCGGCCAGTGAGGAGCGTCTAAACATCTCATTAGTGTCTAACTCCCCCTTCAGGTGGAGTCCGGTGGAAGGCCAGGAGCTACGAGTGTGGGCCCCACTTGCAGGGAATGAAGCAGACGGGCCCTCGACGCTCCTCGACTGAGTGTAGTTCACCAGGCCGTTCAGAGGTGAGTACTCCTTAGAGCGTATGCTATGCAGATCAATCACTGTGGAATAGATGTCTCTCAAATTAATGATTTTGGTTTTCTTATCTCGGTTTTCATGGAGGACGGCGTTGGCACAGATGAAGAGGAAAATACCGATCCCCATTACCAGGGGTCCGAAGACTTTCAGATTGTCTGAGTAAAGGTAATTATCCAGGAAGTCACAGAGGATGCCACAGCGGTGAGCGGGCTTCGGGACGCTGCTGTTGGAATGGCTGTGGTTCGACATGGTTGTTTGCCGGGTTGAATGATTTTCATGGGTCAAGTTAGACTGCGGGCTTCTGGAGTAGCTCATCTTGCTGTTGTAGAATGCACCAGTCCTGCGACGTTCCTGGTACTGTTGCTGACTCTGGCTGGGCCAGTAACCCAGCACGGCCATGGAAATCCCAACCATGAGGATTACGACTCCAACAGCAGCCACCAAACCAGCTGGTGAGCAGAGATTGAGTTTTCCTTTCACAATCACCACATCGTTCTTCTTCTTCTTTTTGGATTTCCGTTTTCTCTTGTTTTCAGCACGATTTTTGGAGCGGAGAGAATCCTGCCGCCTGTTCATGCGCAGCAGGCCACCGGTGGCGATCATTGTGGAGGCTGGAAAACAGGCTCCTTACTTAGTCTATGGAGAGACAAAACAGAAGAGTCCAGAAATATCAGCCGGAGTAAAACAATGAAGTTTATCATTTACAGGAAAACAAAAAAGAAAAGTTTCATTTCAATCATTTTAATAGTTTGCTGAGCAAGTACTGGTCTTAAAATGAACCAGTTTTATGAAAGAATTTCTGCATTCAGTCTACAAAAATATGTATTGGATTAAAACTTTTTTTATCAAAGATGTGCAAAAATTAAAATAAACAATTTGTGCAATATTGGAAAGGTATATTATCTATAGTGCAGTTTTCATATGTCAAAGTTTTCCACCCAAAAGTAACAATTTACAGCAAACAGGTGGATTTACCCCACCAACTGTTTGTAATCCCCACTAGGTCCATTGCAAAACAAGCTAGTCCAATCATAGTTTAATAAAACAAAGTTTTATTAAACTATGCATGCATGCATCCATCCATCCATCCATCCATCCATCCATCCATCCATCCATCCATCCATCCATCCATCCATCCATCCATCTCATTCTAGCAGGGATAAAGTCAATGAGAATTTTAAAGTAGAGTTAGGTTATAAAACGGTTTCCCAAGGTTTGGGCATCTGATGGAGCACTGGTCGATTAATAAGTGAAAATGGGAATGGTTATTACTACAACAAACCTGCCAATACATGTGACCTCCACCCACACTAACCAGACCATTAAGGTGAGTGTTTATTCAAAAAGCAGCCATAAGTCAAAAGTAACTGCTGAGGAACTGCAGAGATCATCTGCTCAGGTTTCAGTGTTAAAATCTGTTTACAGGTCAAATATTCAATTATTAACTCTACAAATCTGGCTTTTATATAAGAATAGCAAAAGAGGAACATGTGTTTAATGAAAGCCTTAAACAGTCCTTAAACAGCTAATACTACACATTAGCATGAATGTAGCATCATTGTGGTTACATAGGCAGCATGGTGTAGAGAAGCCTCTCTTCACTGGAGGGAAGGAAGGTGGCCAAAGAAGATGGTTGGAAGTAAAAACATGACAGCTTTTAACAAAACCAGATTAAAGAATGAGGCAGAGATATCTTTTCAGATGGACAATAACCTTAAAATACTGCAAAAAGTGGCAGTTCTAGACCATATTTACTAGGGGAGCCCAAGGTGGGGCCAGTGTGTCTTCATAGCGTGCAGAAAATCTTGCAGTAGGGCAAGGGTGCTCAAGTCCAGTCCTCAAGAGCTACCTTCCTGTAACTTTTAGATGCATCTCCTCTCTAGCACACCTGAAGCTAAAGCCTCAATCCCCTCATTTAGCTCAGCAGAGACGTGGTAACGAGCCACTCATTTGATTCAGGTGTGTTAAAAATGGTGGCATAAAAAAGTTGCTGGATAGTAGCTCTTGAGGACTGGACTTGAGCATCCCTGCAGTAGGGCAATAAGTTATCATTTAAAATAGGTTAAGAGAGCCGCAGAATCCAAAAGCCACTAGTATTTTTAGTTTGAAAATTTTGCATTTAATTTTTTAATATATTTACAAAATCCCATACCATGGAAAAAAGGACACTGAAATAATTATTTGCTTGATAAATATCTACTCAGAGATAAAATAAAGCTATTTGATCAATATTTGATCGATGTACATTCATATTACAGGAATATTACATATTTTGACGTATTTTAAACGATAATTATTAGTTTAAACAAATCAGAATTAGATCTTAAGTAAAACCGATAAGTTCCCGGTAACAAATTTTGTTTTTTAAATTTTGTTTCAAAATAACATTTATGATTTGAAAACTGTGATCCTATCTCAATACGACTGAAGCTATCACCTTAATTTTATAAATCATAATTAAAACAGAATTGTAAAGAAAAAAAAAGGAAGTGGCTCTAAGTCACTACATCTGTTCCAGCGTATATTATAATTAGAATTTATTTTAGAATTATGTCTTCAGTACAAGGGGTCATAACAGGGGCCAGGAGGAGTTCTATGGAGGAACGGGCCCCTATTGGCTGCTGTCTATAACCAAACATGGATGCAAAAGCTACTAAGCAGAGGTGTACATCAAAGCCTGTTCATGTGTTAGAATTACAGCCCGGAACAAATTTAACAACTTCATTTTTCTTTGCATCCAATGGGACAGAGCTTATTCTGTTTTGCAAATGAGACTGAGAACATTTCTGTCTCAAGATGCGTAAGTTATCTAAGACAAAGATGGTTCTGGTGCACACCAAAAATTTCAATTATAATTTCAGAAATAAACTGAGAATTGAACAGAACTTCCTTCCCACTCCCACACTCACTACTGCGTAGAAATGTAACACCTACAAATGTATACATAATTAAATTATAGATATAACTAATAAATAAGTATTAAATTATATGTGGAATGTAGTGACAATGTCTGAGGAGGTTTGAAGTTCTTCACATGAACAATTGTCCCGATTCCTACTTTTCTAATAAGTCCATATCATCCCAAAGTCTATTAAGTGAGCAAATGAATTAGTTTATGTACATATACACATTCACGTACACACAAATTAATTAATATCACTACATCAAATAAAAGTGGCTGATTAAATAAAACACACCCCATCAAAAAAAACAAAAACAAAAAAAACCCCAACAACAATAGAATTAATTCCTTAAAACCCTTCACCATCAGAAGAAGCATGATATTATGAAACCATTTAGTATAGCTGAGGCTGGTTCAAATCCAAGCTTCATTGTTCTCTGTTGTCGTGTCCTTTGGCAAGACACTCCACCAGCATTGCCTACTAATGGTAACGCCTGGTGGTTCCTGTGTATTGCAGCCTTTCTGTCAGTGAGCTCCAGGGAAGCTGTGGCTACAATATAGCTTACCACCATCAGTGTGTGAATATGTGCATGAATGGGTGGACAACTGAATGTAAAGTACTTTAAACTGCTTTGTAAAGACGCTGTATCCGTACAATGTTAACGATAAGTTAAGTTATTGTATGTTAAACAGGACATAATGAAAAAAATGAAGTAATTCAATTATTATTAAATAAATCCTTATAAAAAGTATGTGGTCTGTGGTCAATTTGATGACAAACGAATTACTGATAATCTGATAACCAATAATTTATTATTGACAAATTTGCTTGCTGACCACTTTCCTTATAAGCTAAGAATAGCAAGGCTGCTGATTGACAATACAAACCAAGTTCAGAAATAATATCATTGTATGTTTTCATCCCTAGAAAATGCTTCCAGTCTTAAAGTAAATAATTATTACATTTTACAAATCCTTCTCACTCATTTTTAAGTCTGCTGGATAAAACTACACGTCTTATTCAGTAACTCTGAAATACATTTCCATGTTGATATAAACATATATTTTTTTAATATTTTAATATATGTTTATTATTAGATTTTAGTATCTAAAATACAGGATATACATCCACATAATGCCTGCAGCAAACCAATTGTTTTGTTGAGCAGAACAGCATTTTCACAAATTTTGGAAAATAGAAGCTAATCGGTTTAGCACACCCTAGAATAGGTTCTACTGACTTTGAGAGGAAGTCACAAGTTTGTTCCTGTCTGTTATGGGCATGTGTGATTGTGTCTGGACATGTCTCCATTAAGCACACTACTGGCAATTTGGAATACCAAGTCGTCGCTGAGAGCAGACATCATTTGGGAAAAGCAGCAACAGCTGAGTAAGGGCAGTCACTAACTGTTTTCCATTATTCTTCTGTTATGTAAGGCTAGAGCAGTTATTGTTTGGCCTGAGGAGGAAGTCTACCACTCCTGATGGTATTGTCTTACTCCAGTCCTTGAGGGCAGGGGTCCTGCATGATTAAGTTTTGCACTTTCTTCTCATACCTGATTTCCATTGATGACTGATTAACAGACTTTTGCTAAACTGCAACTGTCTAATGGAGCAAAACTTCTATAAAATGCAGGACACTGGCCATTCAGCAGTGACTTTGCCTACCCCTGGTCAACAACGTAATAACTGCTGAGCATGTGATGGATTTTTTTTTAAATTATGCAATTGGCAAAAACAAAAAAACAAATGGAAAGTGGGCCATCTATAGTCCATACCAGATGTCCACAATGGAAGTTTCTGAAATTTCTTCTTCCTGTAAGGCACTTCTTATACTTAAGTACCTCAAAAAGAAACAACATAAAATAACATAACATAAAGAGACAGAGGAAAACTTATGGAGAGCAGCAGTCTAGTTGGGGGCATAGAGCTTGGAATCCTGAGGTTCTGAGTTCAAGCCCCACTCCCACAGACTGCCACTCTGAGCAAGACCCTTTACCGCTGGTGAAGATCCTCAGTCATCATCATTCCATCCATCTATCCATCCATTATCTAACACGCTTGTCCCAAGTGGGGTTGCAAGGGGTGCTGGTGCCTATCTCCAGCAGTCAATGGGCAAGAGGAGGGGTACACCCTGGACAGGTCGCCGGTCCATTGCAGGGCAAAACAGAGACAAACAGGACAAACAACCATTCATGAACACACTCACACCTAAGGACAATATAGAGAAGCCAATTAACCTAACAGTCATGTTTTTGGACTGTGGGAGAAAGCTGGAGTACCCGGAGAGAATCCACGCATGCAAGGAGAACATAAAAACTCCATGCAGAAAGACCCTGGGCCATTCCAAAAAAGAAAATTAAAAACAATCCACTGGACTTGGCTTCAAAGTTTGAGGAGGTTTCGATTTCCATCCATGCTGCGATGATAGCGGGAAGAGCCACTTTGATGTGCTTCTGTTCTTTTTGTTCCCCTTCTATTTTTGTAGGGACATGCTCAGCACATGTTGTAAGGTTATGATGACTTAAAGTTTGTGTTCCAGTGGGTGATGTGAGTCAAAAAGAAGATGTTGGTCTGTGTTAGTGGGTTTCTTATACACTTCAATGTTGAGGTTTCCTTCCCCTTCCATTCTCACCAAACAGTCCAGAAATGGCAGCTTGTTGTTGGTGGCATCCTCTCTGGTGAATTTGATGTTGTGGTCGACTGAGTTGATGTGTCTTTGAAAAGCGTCCAC